TGATCGATCCATCCGACAGCGTCGAGAAGATGTACAAAGCTCGCGTGACGATGGTGAAAGGCAAGGATGGAATGTGGACCCAATTGGAGAACATTGAGACTACACGGCTTTGGGAGCATTCAGAAGGATCAGTTTGACGAATGAGCCACAGAGGACTTTGACCTTCTTCTCGACGAGCAAGTTCAAGGACTACTGGGAGGAAGGATCAGAGGTGCCTATTGCGCCATACCCTTTGACTGAGGCCGTCATCAACCAGACAGACTGGTCAGAGGATGAACGAGAAGAATTGGAGGAGCTCGAAGGGAAAGAAATGTTCCATGACGTGGAGAAGATGGTTGTCGCTGAGAAGAAAGATGAAGTAGAGCTTGACGAAGTGACCTACTCTGAGAAGACATTAGTCAAGGAACTACAAATGGCATGCAAGGACAGGCAGTTGGCACACACAGGAAGCAAGAAGAAGTTGTTGGAAAGGCTGATTGGCTACAAGGTGTACATGGAGACGAGGATGCACATGGCAGTGGCAAATAAGCTGTACGATGAGAAGCGAAGAAGGCCAGTGACTCTCGGGCAACCAAAGTTGCCTAGCCTGGAGGAACAAGAGATCCACAACGTCACGCATTGGCCTTATGCAGCATGGTGCCAGGCCTGTGTTGCCAGTCGAGCCAAAGAAGACAAACATGAGAGTACCGACAAGAAAGAGGATGCCGGAAAGAATGTCATCCAGCTTGACTTCTGCTACACGTACACAGGAGATGAAGACAAGGAGGAGAGCAGAGTTGAGGAGGTAGGCGCAGGAAAGGTGGTGGAAAGACAAGACCAATTTGGAACTTGTTTGGTGATGACATCAGCCACCACGAAAGCAATACATGTGGTGCCAGTACCGACCAAAGGAAGCGCAAGTCTGAAGACTGTCACAGAGGAAGTGGTGAGGTTCAGTTTGGAGAACAAGAGACAGATGTACCATCCAAGCTGACAGTGAACGAGCCACTCGACAGATATTGAGGTCAGTGCAACAAGTGAGGAACGTGATGGGGCTTCAGACAGAAATTAGGTTGACTGTAGCCGGACAGCATGCATCCAACGGACAGGTGGAGAGAGCAGTGCAGACAATAAGGAGGATGGCTGGACGCGTCAGATGTTTTGCAGAAGACCGAGCACGCATCGACATTGGTGGTAGCTTTCATGTGTACCCATGGGCTTTCAAACATGCTGCATTCTTGATCAACCGATTCAGAGTTCTGGATGGCTGCAACAAGACAAGTTTCGAGTTGGCCACAGGACATTCGTACAACGGGAAGTTGGCAATCTTCGGAGAGAGCGTGATGTTCAAGAGGTTGGTCAAATACAAAGGCAGCAACATCTTTGAGAGAGGTGTTTGGGTTGGAAAGCATCCATTCAATGACAACCACATCGTGCTGACCCCAAATGGAGCATATGAATCCAGGACCATACGGAGACTGTCCACGGCAGAGAACTTCAGTGGAGTCGACATCTTCACGGCAAAGGGACTCCCATGGAGCTACTCCCCACAAGGGACAAGCTCAAAAGTACCGACAGCCGACCTTGGAGGTTGAGGCCAGTGAAGAAGAGATGAAGGAGATCGCAAATGCAGTGGCATCAGGAGTCGTCGCTCCAGCGCCAGGAGCACAAGGACAACCAATACACCTGCTGTGATTGGCAGTGCAGCTCCAACTACTCCAGCTACAAGAAGAGAAGAGGTGCAAGATTCGCCAAAGAATGTACAAGTCAAGAGACCCCTTGAAGAACAAGTTGAGGCCAAGAGAACGGACACGACAGTTTCTCCAAGGAGGACGCAAGACAAGAGGGCATTGACAGAGGAGGAGATGGAAGAACCTGAAAAGAAGCACAGACCTGAGACAAGTCTCCCTCCAGGAGCTACACACTCAGGACCGCAATTGGAAGCATCACCAAGCGCATCTCCCAGCAATCAACTGTATCCTCCATACTATGCAGGACTCAACAGAATTGAAGCTCATGGAGATGAAGAGGTTGGAATAGAATGGATTCCAGCTGAACTGTTGGAGGAGGAGTTCATTGATTGTGCTGGCGACGAAAATGATGATCCACCTGAAGTGAGCCCAGAACATCTACAGCGCTTAGATGAAGAGGCAAGAGAGACAGAACTGAACCGAATGCTCAAGATTCCAGCAATGGTGGAGACCAATGAGAATGAAGTGAAGACTACAGGGGATATGTGATCTCCACGAAAGAAGTCTACTGTTGGAAGCACAGACTCGAGAAAGGAGGATGGTTCAGAAGGGCAAGACTGGTGGCAAGACAGTTTCGCAGCAGCATTGACATTGAGCAGACATTTGCACCCACTTCGTTGATGGTGCTACCCAAGATGCTCATCCACTATCTGCTGAATGTGAGAAGGGATTTTGTTGTCATGACATTGGACACGAAGGACGCTTTCCTCATGGCAGCACAACCGGAAGCAGAGGTGGCATTTGTGAAGGTGGACAACCGCATCTTCAAGCTGCTTAGATGCCTACCGGGACAACGCACTGCAGCAGCTCAGTGGTTCCAGTTGTTCTCTACGACCTGCGTCGAATATGGAATGAAGCAAGATCTCACGCAAGCTACACTACTCTTCATTCCAGATCTACTGTACTTGACAGTGCATGTAGATGATGTTTTCATTGTGGGCAGAGAGGACAAGGTTCGACGCTTCGTGCAGCGCCTGAAGTGCTCGGTCTCGGTGGGGATGCCGGCTGAGAAGCGGAAGAGTAATGAAGCTCTCGAGAACCTACTTAAAGAAGCAGCCTTGAGAAGGCACCGATGCTTTAGCTCAAAACCAAATGCAGTCAGACGTGACAGGAAGCAGTACGACAGCTTTGAGAAAGAGGTTGACCTGTACTCGAGATTCTACCGCAAGACACCCTTGGACTCGAACTTTGGAAAGAGAGATGAGTCAGAAGAGTTGAAAGGTGAAGAAGTCACGAAGTTCAGGAGCATTGTAGGGAGGCTCATGTACATGTCAGGCGAACGACCAGATGCACAATACGCCATCCAGTGCCTTGCAAGACACATGTCGAAGCCCGCAAAGCAAGCAATGGCAAATGCATGGCATGTCGTCTCATACTTGTTTGGGACAAGTGGCTATGGCGTCCGCATTGATGAGAGGAAGAAGGGACAATCCATGATGGATTTGAGGATGGCAGATGAAGCTGAGGAGGCAGAGGAGCATTTGTTGGAGATTGTGACAGATGCCGACTACGCAGGGAACAAGAACGACAGGAAGTCAACGACATCATTTCAGTTGTTCCTGGACGGCAACCTGATGGAGTCGAAGGTGAGGACCCAGAAGGCAATCTCGCTGTCATCAGGCGAGAGTGAATTTGTGGCTATGGTGGCAGGATGCTCTGAAGGCATGTTGATTCGACATCTATGGAATCAGATCACCGGCCAAAGCTGCAAGACAAAAGCTCGAAGTGACAGTTCAGCAGCCAGGGGGATGACGCAACGACAAGGAATCGGGAGAGTGAGGCACCTTGATGCATCGCTGCTGTGGATACAACAGAAGGAGAAAGAGAAGGTGATCACGGTGGCAGCGATCCCATCTGAGCTCAACAGTGCAGACATTGGCGCAAAGAACCTAGCCAAGAAGAGATTGAATGGACTCCTGTACGTGATCCACATGGTTGATGCAGTGGGAGATCGTGTGGGAGAGCAGGAGTACCATGAGATCGAGCACAACTACCAGCTGAAGCAAGGGATGAAGAAGCTTGGAAAAGGGCGAGATTTGAGGATTGGCTTATTGCTTTTGCTGGCCAACATGGAGAGAAGCACAGCTATGAGCGCAGAGGAGAAGCCTGAAAGTCATTTTGACTTTGGATGGGCCTTGACGTGTGTGTGCGCTTTGTTTGGAGCCTTGAGCCTATGCAAGTGGTTGCGGGACTACTTGATTGAGGGCATCGGCGGCATTGGTTTCTTTATGATGAAGAAGATGGCCGCCATGGTCAAGGAAGAAGAGGTCAACGTGACCAATGAGAAGTCCAGCGAGGACAAACAGACCCAAGTGACATATGGAGTCGACTATGGAACGACTGGTGAGTACGAAGCAGAGCTTCAGAAGTACCAGGAAGAGTGTTTTTTGAAAGACACGTACATAGAAGAGCTTGAGCAGAGGGTGAAATACCTGGAAGAACATGTACAGGATTTCTGTACGCAGGCCACGATTTCCGACAGAGAAGCCATCAAGTGGCAGAAGAGGCTTGCATCCCTCAGGATGACGCCAAAAGGGCGTGTGTTCCATTTTTCTCCCATGTGCAGGTTTTGGGAGCATGGAACTGAGATCCGGACTTGTGAGGTGTGCATGGGTCAAGGAGTGTTGAAGTTTGATGAACCAAAGGTTGATGCAGTCACCCATGCATACATGTCCACATAACCGACGCACAACTAGGCTCTAAGCCCTTTGAAGGAAAAGCGCCCGCGCCTTTCATGAAAGACATTTGCTACCGGCAGCAGATGCGAATTAAATATCTTGCGGTTGAAAATGGTGTCAGGGGATGTCAGAAGCACAGGCGTGTTTGGATTTGCACCCCCCAAAGTTGTCTACTTGGCCGATGTTTTTGAAGCCATGACACTCAGTGAATCGAAGAAGTTCTATGCATATTTAGTATCATTTAGTTTTCTGCATTTAAGACCGCTCCAGTAGAGCAGAGCAGAGTAGAGCAGTGGCATAGATAGGTTGATAATCTTTAATAGGTTGAACACAAGACGATACAAGACGTGCATTTCATATGATCTTCTTAAATCACTTCTGTTGTGTAGACCATGGCGACTGGTGCCCTCAATGCGATGAAACAGCAGCTGAGGAACAGAAACAAATCATAAACTTCGAAGGTGGATGTTTGCTTCCGCCCGTAGCATGCATAAGCATAAGGATAGCACCAAGCCCCTGCCAAAGAAACAATCTTGATCAAATAGAGGTTGATTCGACATGCGCGCGCTCTCTCTCTCTCTCTCTGTCTCAGGCTCAGAGCATCACCCCTTGCATTGGTTGGATATTCTGCCCAGGCCACAATTTTAACAGCAGAGTTAAAGAGTTTGAGCGATATACAGTCAGAGGACTCTCTTTTCTCAAGTTTGGCTCGCACGGCCGTGAGTTGTTTCATGCAGTTTTAGTCATGGATGAACACAAATTGTTGTGGACGACCTTGGAAGAAGCGATTTGCAAACCATGCCGCTGGCTACTGTGATTGGCCAAGCTTCATGTGATCTCACACGCACAAAATGCTCATAGCTAGAGTCATCTCATCACGTTGCAGTCTGCTGCGGTGGACGTAAAAAATCATGTCCCGTGGCAGGCTGCCATTGTGGTCGTCCTTTTCTTTTTGGCACGGCTTGTTAAGGCCGTGGGGTGGACGATGGTGCGGGGGCTTCCCTCACTCTGACAGTGGCAGGTAACGTTGATTTTGCGCTTGGCATATTCGCTTCTACACCAATGTATTGTTCAATTTTGTTCAACATTTCGAGCGCGCTCAGATGGGGGGTGCTGGGCTTCAGGTTTCAAGAAGTAATTATGCTTGAGGCTTTTTGGACCATTCTTCTTTGGGATAGTCTGGATTCTGTGCAAACCTGGTGGGATGCACCCCTGGTGCTGACCTTGCGTTGGTGCCTAAACTTTTCAGTTCTTCACATAATATACTGAATACAGATTCTGCCTGTCCTTTGCACCTGTTTCTATCACTGACAAATTGCTGCAGCGTTGACGCTGGCTCGCTGTTTCATCGCTGCGCAGTCTGTGTTGTGATTGGCTCACATCCTTGGAACGTAGAGCTTTAAGCATTAGGCTTTTGCTGGGCAATGCTCAGCTCGCAGAGCAGTGTGTCCAAAAATAAATCCAATTTCAAGCTCGCATAAACACTTGTCTCCGATCACTACTGATGTGACTGTTCTTCGGCCTCACCCCCATGGACAAGCAATAGGACCACTTCAGGATGCAGAGAAGCATGGTTTGGACCGCCACCCTCAGCCCACTGCGGAGCAGCCAGGGCGTTCGGCCGCCCGGAGACCAGGAGGAGAGATACATTCAGCTCATTGAGGTGGACCGGTCGCAGTGGGGCCAATATGCTTGTGCGTTGCTGTTAGGCCTCGTAATTTATAAGCAACGCCGATCTATGAAGCGCAAGAAGAAATGGTTACCTTCCGCTCTAGTCTTCAGACATGAATGCAGCCATGATGTTGGAATTCCATAGGTCTTCGTCGTTGTGTTCTCGGAGGTTTCCTGGATCTTTCCCTCTGGTCGTGTTCTCTTGCGGTTTTTGTTGTTAATGAATCGGGGCAATCAGTATGGTGCCCCGCCTGTTCAAATGGCAGGTTTGAGCCCTTCCCTGCTCGCCGAACGGCGAAACTCGGCAAACGGCAGCCTCTGTGCATGCGGAGATGGGACCTCCAAGTTTGGTATAGAGTCCAAGCAGTAAAAGGAAATTCCTTTTAGTATTAAGAAGCTACTAGGAGCAAGGACGCTACTAGGGGCTCCTGGCATCGCTACTAGGAGCAAGAAGCTACTAGGATTAAAGGGCATCGCTACTAGGAGCAAGGACGCTACTAGGGGCTCCTGGCCATACTACTAGTAACAAGAAGCTACTAGGAACAAGGGCATCGCTACTAGTAACAAAGGGCATTGCTACTAGTAATAGCATTCTTGCTAAGGCCATGTTCAACTAGTACCCAGTTGGTTCCATCTCCACCAGTTATTTTCCGTGCCGCGGTAAAGCGGCCGTCAAGTGGATTGATCAATCTGCGGGATAGCGAACCGGCAAACTCATTCCAATTGATCAATTCCTAGCCATCCTTTGGGGTGGCAAAGGAACCTTTGTGAGGCAATGGTTTCTGTGGAACGCAAGGCAATGCAACCCATCCGCCCCACCGATTTGCTTCCGCAATGTGCCTCGCATTGTGCAGCCCTGCCTTCCAGAGTGTTCCGTCCATGTTGGACGATGGTTTCAGCCTTGCTGTGTGCAGCGGCTTTTACGGAGTGCCACTTCTCGGCCGATCGGGCAGCGATGACACTCTGCAGGACTTTTGCGTGGCTTGGGGAAGACACGGATGACTGGTCCAAGGTGCCATGTTCTTGTGGTGACGGGGCAACCTTTACACTGCTGTAGAGAATCTAAGGGCTGGAAGCCCTGAAATGGCCCCTGTACACTTCCCCAAGTCAGTATTTTGTTAAGACTTCCACCGAGCAAAGCTTCAGATCTTAAGCTCGTGCGAAGCGTATGCCTTCGTCTCTGCATGGTGCTTGAACGCCACAAGGTAGGCGGACCGGATGCCAGAAGCTCTTTTGCGCTCTCCGAAAGGCAACACTTGACTCGCATGAATCATGGTGCAGGTAGGCCGCTCTGGGAAGAGGTATAAGCTAGTTAGTAGCTACTAGGTACTGGAAGCGCTCGCACTAATCATTTGGTTCCTAGACTTTTAGGGATAGACTTTTAGGGAAAGTTAATCATCGAAATCATTGAGTCGCGTGATGTTTACAATTAGTCCTTATTAGTTGTAGCAGTCTCACACGAATGAATCATAATATTGGACAGGTGGAATCCAAAACTCAAACTTTGGAGCCACTTTTTACATCATCGTGAATTCCTCAGCACACGCCGAATGATAGCCTGCTCAAGCGTTGGCAGAGCAAAAGCAACTGGCCTGAAGGGCAGGGAAAAACTTGAATTCATTTCAATTTCAGACCCACTCCTGACATATTATATTATATTATGTTATATTATTATATTCGAGGTGTACTTGGTCTGTGTGCCAAGTTGACATCACCAACTCCAGAATCAAGCAAGTCTTCAAAGTGAGCTGGGCCTGTGCCCAGCGCTTGTGGACATTCCGAGCTGCGACGCGATCTGGCCATGCTGGGCGAGTGGCCATTAAGCGCTGATGAAATCAGGACGTGGGAAGAGATGGGCGTGACAAGTTGCAGAATGCACGACGTTGGCAACACACACACACACAGAGTGGCAAAGGTTTATGAATGCCTTGTATTGTTCAGTCGGCAGCATTTCACGGTTCCAGTCACTAGTTCCGGAGCTGCGATGCAGAAGGAACACCAGAATGTGAGAGACTTTCGCAGTATTGACTTTGCGCACGCAGTGTTTTGGCACTTGCGACCAACACAAACTTTTTGCGACATGGACACTTGCAAAGTGGAGTATGGGTTGCTGGGGTGCTCGAGTAAACCGAAAACCCAACAAGGCAAGAGAGGGCTACACCTTTGAAGGTGCCAAAACATCCTGGCCAGGAGTCTGCTGTACGAGAAGCAGCCGATCGGTGAAGGTTCTTACGGCAAGGTGGTCCTCTCGAACTTGACACTCATTCCACGGTCAGGGACAGCATTTTGTTTTGGGTGGCTGAACGGACAAAAAGCTGTGGAGGTCCGTCAAATGCAAACACGTCAGGGATTTCTTCAATTTTCCTGGTATGTTGTCTAGTCACCAATCTGCATTGTCTATATTCCGTTCTGAATGGCCAGGTCTACCGTGCGCGGCTGCCGTCTGGTGAGGTGGGGGCCTCGACAGCAGCCTTTGCACCATTTTCACAGTAGAATTCCAAACCTGCGAGAACTGGGTTGCAAACAGATCCGGGATGTCAAGTCAAGAACCAACCAGGTATTGGGAGTGCCCAAAGTGCACAGGGTATATACCATACATAAACGTCACAGGGATGAACCGCGTTTTGTCAACAGGAACACCATCATGTTTTTCTTTACGCCACAAAATCCACATAATGCCTGCGCAACTATGGATGTCCAGCCACGGATTATACACCCCACACATGTTTGTTGAGCCTATGATTGCTTGTCAGGGAAGGCCTGTAGGAGAGGATGGCCAAGAACAGTCTGAGGAGTCACCGGGTGAACACAGGCATGCCGTGTTAACACTGTGTTACTCGGAGTAACTCGACAACCTGGTTCTGATCAGGCTAGGCATCGGCATCGGCCTGGCATGCATTCTGTTTAGCGTATTCAGCTCGATGCATGCGTTGAAGCTCACTGGCCTTGCCTCGTCTAGGGATTTCAATGACACCCGTCGCAGACGAACGCTCGTTTTGTAGCTGCGAGGTGTTGCACGGCGGTGTCAAGCGTCCTCCCATACGGTTAACCCGGTGGCTGAAAGGCAACCATGCAAGCATCGCTGTCAACATGGTCACCTTGCTGCGGCGCGTGCCCAACTCTACCTAATGCTCGTGGCACAGTGTTCATGTTCGCACGGCGATAACAAGCACTTGACGTTGTCAGGCTGCGTGGCTTCCAGAAATCTGCTTGGGACGCCATGCCGTCTTGCCACACGACATTCACACAGCAGCGTCGCATCCACAGAGTGTCAACACAGGTTTCGCACGGACCTGACACTGTGGCTCCTCGGACCGTTGCTGGCAATCATCTACAAAGGTCAGGCAATCGCTGTTTCAAAACACAGCGCTTCAGCAACCACATGCACGGGTAGGTGCTAAATGGATTGAATCAACAGTAGCTTTTGACACAACATCCAAGCTGGTGTGCACACAACAATGTTTCAACATTTTTGGCATCAGCTTCCTCGTCATCCGTGGATATGGTATGAAACGGTTACTGAACTGCTTAGCGAAGTCCTGAAAAGCCGGAGGTTGGATTTGCATGGCTCAATGATATGGCCTCAAGTGCCTGCGCATACTGGTGTGAAAGTGTTTGCATCGTCAAGTTTAAGCAAAGATTGAACTTTCGAATTGTGTGAGAATTTGATACTCCCTTCGCTCACATTTTTCTGAGTGGTATGTGCCTGTTAGCGTTGAGACATGCTTTCACAAGCCATGGCCAGCATTTTCTACCGCAAAGTCCAAAGAACCAGTTCTGAATCAAGCATCGCACTTGATGATCAGATGTCTAGATTGAAACATATTACAGTTCTGTTGCCGTGGTGATAGCATCATGGCATTCACGTGAGTACATACCGAAGGCACTTTTGATGTCAAGTGAAAAGGCGCGAACCCTTGTGTTTCAAGGGTTATGAGCCCAACGCCCGGTTGGTAAAGACCACCTGTGACTGCGGTGTGCGCAGCGCAGTTGCTGGCCGCCATGGCGGCGGAGCGGTCGCAATCCATGCCGCCTGGGGACATCGTGAACCCATGGTGGTCTGAGCGGCTTCAAGCCGAAGCCTTACTGCGGCGCCAACGGCCTGAGGATCTGCCAATTCCTCAGGACGATGATCTGAACATGGAGGCGGTGCAGGACTATGGCGCCGCTGGCTGCTCGGGCAAAGGTCGCGGTTCAGCGACCATGGGGGGGCCGGGTCTTTGCAACCCCACCGGACCGCCGAGGTTCAGAGGGAAGAGGGCAGGGTGGCGCAAGGCAGACGGAGGGCCTGATGCCGGGGGAGTCAAGTGTGGATCCTCCTAGGGCCAGGGGGAAAACCATGGGACCACTCCCACCAAAGCATGCACCTCCACCAAAGCATGCACCACCTCCGAAGCCGGCTGATGAAGAGCCAAGTGGCCTCCAGCGTGCCCTGGAAGCTGAAATGGTGACACTTCTCAGGGAGCAAGTTGAGCAGCTCTCGGAGGAAGTGTCACGACTGAGGCAGCAGCAAGCGGCCACCAAGGATCGGTCAGGTCCGACATCTACACCATCGTCTTGGGAGACAGCTGATGGTCCGGGCACGGATCTTCGGAAAGAGGATTTGGGTGGTCATGAATTTGATGGGTTGAAGGGTGGTGCACACACTCCTAGGGGAAGAAGTCCAACTACCAGAAGACTTCATCATGGAGAGCGCTTCACCCCCAATGGCACCAAGGTCCCATCGTGTCCACCACCGGATGTGCCCATGCCTCCATTCCCTATGTCCACAGGCCCCTCAGCTGAATTTAGTGGCTCCTCGGCTGACATTAGCCTCTTGAAGGGCTATGAAGTGCTGGATGCATGCCGACGTGGGCGAGGAGACCAGCAGTGGCTGCCGCTTGGCATGAGAGAAGGGAAAGTGATGCAGCCGCATGACTTTCAGGCGGCCCGGGCTGATAGGCTCGAACAGGAGCTTGCGGAGCTGAAGGCTTCGCTGGGACATCCACCTGGACCGAATGCACTTGGGTCTTCAAGTTCAAAAGACATCCCATTGGGGCCATCTACCTCCTACCGTGGTGGCCCTGATTCGAGCACTACGCAAACTGGGGGTATCGGGTTGCGTGGGCATGATCATCGAGATTTTTCTTGTGGTCCTCATGATGGGTAGGTCATGAATTTGTACATGATACTGAATGCCCTCTCGAGCGCCGGTCTTTGGTGCAGGACTATGGAAGATGGCGGCCGGATGGCAGCCTTGGTGGCCCTGGCGGTGCAACGCCGCTACCTTGGA